CCCATGGTCAACTGCAGCCAGGAGGCAGATGATTCTCCTTCTGACCAATCATCAGGAGGTCACTTTAGTGGCCTAACGCTCTGTCACAGCACCTACGTCCCTCACCTCGCTTCATCTCATCACACAGGCATTTTATCACCTTGCATCATGAGAAGGGTGAGTACAGGACAGTATTTTGAGAGAGATTACATGTATGGAACTTGTATTACAGCATATTGTTATTTTTATTGTCTTACTGGGCCTGGTTTCTAAATTAAGCTTTATCATAGGTGTGTGTGCTAGGAAAACACATAGTATATATCAGGTTCGGTACTATCCAGGGCTTCAGGCATCCGCCCAGGGATAAGGGGGCACTGCTCTACTTCTTCCCAAACTTGCCTGACCATAAAAGCCACCTGAACATGCAAATAGGGAGCTGAGAATATTGCATTAGGGAGGGCACCTGGGTGGAGCAGTTGGCTGGGTGTCCAACTCTTGGTTTCAGCTTGGGGTCTCGGGGTCATGAGATTGAGCCCTGTGTTGGGCTCTGTGCTCGGAGTCTGCTTAAGACTCTCTCTGCACCCCCCCCCACCTCCACTCCCCGTGCTCGCGTGCTCGGGCTCTCTCTCTCAAATAAATAAATCTTTAAAAAAAAGCAACCCGATATTGCATTAGGGAACAGTCCCCATCCTCCTCTTCCAACCCTTATTTAATTAGTACAAAGTGATAAAAGGAACCTGTGCTTTCCAACAGTCACCTGAAAGCTGGATAACCCCTATAATTTTAAGTATAAAAAAGGGGAGCCTCTTAAATTTCTGCAGGATCTGATCCTTTATGTGGCCGCCGTGAATGGCCCAGTTCATTTCTAGGCAATGAGATGATTTTGTTTGAAGTTCAATTACAAAAGGAGTGACTAAAATAGTATATGATTGACATGTTTTTATAATCTTTGAATTGAGGGCAGGTGGTAAGAAGTCAGCTCATTAATAGCGATTGTCTCCCTACTGTAGCACTTCACAGACATCTTCCTAAATTCTCAAAAGTTGGAACTCTTCCAGGACATTTACATATCTGATCAACTGTGAGATGGCCAGCTGAGAGAAGCTCAGGTGTGGAGCAGGGGGGCCCCTCTGGCTTGGCTCATGACTGCACACCTACCTGGTACAAGTAACGCCTTCCACCTGTGCAGTCCTTTGCCCACCTCCATCACCTGGGCTCTTGTTAAAAAGCAGATTCTAATTTGTGAGGTCAGGGATGGGGCCCGAGAGTCTGTGTTTCTATCTAGTGCTGTGGGTCTGAGCACCACGCCCTGAGTAGTTTGGTGTTAGAGCACCTCCACATTTTTAATTTTTATCTTCATAACAATATTACACTGTTAACACATTTTTTTCAAATCACTTCTATTTCCCCCCCTCACTTGAACATCATTGCTCTAAGACAATTAGTGCAAATATGATCCCCACTTGACAGATGAAAAGTTAGGCACACACAGGTTAAGTGATTTGTCTAAGGTCTCATAGCTAGTGGTAGAATTGAGGACTTTGGATTTTTCTCTGGCTTCGTGGTTCTCAGACTGGAGCAAGTATCAGAACCACCTGGAAGGCTTGTTGAAACATCCTGAGCGATGTGCGGAGTTCCAGGTTCAGTAGTTATGGGATGGGCTCTGAGAATCTGCATTTCTAACAAGTTACCCCTTAAGCAGATATTGAATAAATGTCTCAAAGGACAGTGTCTTTTGAGAACCATTGTGCCTAGCTGATCTCCAACGTGTTTGTAATACTTGGTAATACAGGTAAAACTCTGCTAGTCAGTTAGATTTTGAGCATAATTTAGCTTGATAATAGAACATACAAGGTCATCGGTTCTCAGTAGCTGTGATCAAAGAAACCAAACAACCTTGCACTATAGTAACCACCACTCCTAGCTAAAGGTTTGCATGGATGTTTGGAAAACTTCATTCTCACCCTTATTTGTCCTCAAAGCTGTGGTTTATTGTCCCGTTGAAACACTATTCCCACTTTAGGAAATGGTAGGTATAATTTTATTTAGAAGTTTGCATCTAACAAAAATGGAGTATTTGTCTTGGTGAAATTCTTGTCAAAACAGGATTACAGACACTGATCTCCAAATGAGAAAATGAGTATTGTTAACTCAGTAGTGGATTTCTTAAGCCTTTTGAGATAGTCTTTTCCCAGTACCTGTCTGTGGAATCCTGAGGGCCGAGGAGCAGTTGAATGAACAGCAGAGGGTGCAATTTTTATCTGTGTTGACTTTCTTGGAAAGAATGCTATCTATCAGGACTTTGGATGACCCCTTGATGCTGCTGAATCCTGAATCATTTGTCTACAACTCCCACTTCACACTAGGTCTGTACCTCTAGTTTCCTTGAGAAGTTTCCACTTGGCTATCCTATAATTTAGTCCTTCAACAAACATTTATTGAACATCTACTATGTGACAGGCACCATAATAGGTGTTGGGAATGATTGTTTCTCATTAGTGAGTCCTTGCTATGGGCTGGACGCGAGGATAGGAAGGGGTTTAGTGTGAACTCTGGAATTATATCACCTGGACCAAATCCTTTCACTACTACTGGTGTGTGACTTTGGGCAAGTCACTTAACTTCCCTGTGCTTTGGTCTCCTTCACTGTGAAGTGGGATTGTGGGGCGCCTGGGTGGTGCAGTCCGTTAAGCATCTGACTCTTGGTTTCGGCTCTGGTCATGATCTTAGGGTGGTGAGATTGAGCGCCGCATCAGGCTCTGTGCTCAGCGCAGAGAGGGCTGGAGATTCTCTCTCCCTCTGTGCAACCTCCTCCCCCAGGGCACTCTCTCTCAAATAAATCTTTTTAAAAAATACAGTGGGATTGTGATGGTAGCAACCTCACAGTGTTGTTGCAAACACATGGAAAGTATTTGAAAGTGTCTAGTTCATGTTAGGGAGTCCGTAAATGTTATTAATAACATTTTACATGCCTTTTACATGCACTCGGTCATTTAATCAGCCACCCCCTAGGGTGGTACCAATACTGCCCCTATTTTGGGGACCTGGGTGTCGCCTAAGTGTCTGCCTTGGGCTCTGGTCATGATCCCAGGGTACTGGGATGAGTCCCGCATCCGGCTCGCTCTCAGCGGGGAGTCTGCTTCTCCCTCTGCCCCTCCCCCCACTTGTGCGCTCTCTCTCTCTCTCTCTCTCTCTCAAAAGTAAATAAAATCTTGTCCCTATTTTACAGATAATAAGGAACTCGCCCAAGGTCACAGAGCTATTAAATTGCTAAACATAGCTCAGGTCATGATCCTGGAGTCCCAGGATGGAGTCCCCCGTCAGGCTCCCTGCTCAACAGGGAGTCTGGTTCTCCCTCTGACCCTCCCCCCTCTTTCTCTCTCTCTCTCTCTCAAATAAATAAATAAAATCTTTAAAAAAAATTGCTAAACATAAAATCGGATTGAGTTTTCCCTGATCCCAAGTTCTGTTTTTAATCCCTATATTAAGCCTTCCAATGCTTAATGATAGTATTAACACCTTTCTTCACCCAAATTCTCCACTCTTCAAGGACCCAACATCCTCGCACTGGATCTAAATCCTTCACTGGGCCTGAGTCAAGGGCACAATGGATTTGGGACAAAGGTCAAGAAACAGAACTCCGGGCTCTCAAAAGATATTCCCTCAACAGAAGGGATCTCTCTACTGCCCCCGAGAATCCCCTGTGGCTTGCTGTGTAGTCTGCTTGCCAAAGCGGGGATTCAGTCTGCAGAAGTGTTCGGTCTTTGTGCTCCTGGCCTCCTCTCGCCACTCTATCACGGTGTGATATGGAAGTACACACAGTTTAGATATTTGTTCCATTCATCGAATACATCTTTGTCCTGTTGTTTTTAGATTCAAGAAAACTTCTTTGCAAATGTTGATGGAAAACGTCCCAAGCCCCATCCATCGTGCCCTTGCCAACACCGACTGTAGCAAAACAGCCTGTGCATCTGCCATCTAGCTGTGTGGACTGGTGGTCTGGCAGCTGCGGGTGTGAGACTGGTGACCCGTGGGGCTCAGGAGGGAAGTCATGACTGAGCTGAGGGCCTGTGGTACAGATGGGGCTGAAAGGTGGGAGCAGGGACAGCTACAGGAGACGGATGGCTTCGCAATTTTTGAAGTGTTTTTTGAGAGCAAGAGAGAGCGCATGTGCGAGCGGGTGGGCGCAGAGGGAGCGAGAGAATCTGAAGCAGGCTACACGACCAGCGAGGAGTGCAGGGCGGGGCTCCATCTCACCACTCTGAGATCATGACCTGAGCTGAAATCAAGTCAGATGTTTAACTGACTGAGCCACCCAGGCGCCCCCACTCAATTTCATTTTAGATACTGCTACTTAAGTACACAGGAAGACCCCTGGAAGCTTAAGTGGAAAAGAGCACAGAGCTGGGAATTAAGGGCTCTGCATTATAAAGGCAGACAGGGCAAGTGGTTAAGAGCAAGGGCTCTGGAGTTAGACTGGCTTGGCTTTGAATCTCAACTGCACCAAGGACTCTGAGACCTTGGGTAAGTGACTAAGTTTGCAGTGCCTTGGTTTCCTCATTTATAAAAAGAGAGTAATACCTCTCTAAGATTTTCTGGGGTTTAGGATGATACATGTTAAACCACTGAAGTTCCCGGCAAAGAGTAGGAAATTTCAGTTTTATGAGATCAGGCTCTGCTATGTTACCAGCTGTGTCATATCTGAAGAAAGACCTTTTCCTTCCACAGGTTTTGGTTTTATTTGTAAAAGGAGGATAAGCCTAGATGTTCTTGGATGTTTCTTGCAGTTCCATTGTCATCCATCACAGAGTTGCCACAATGAGCATATAACCCTGCCCTCTAGTGGTCTGTAGTTATTTCAAGATACCATAAACAATCCCTTGCACTGGTATCAAGACTTACCTACCATTTTCTTTGCCTCACCAGGGGCTGTTGCCTCTGGTCCCTGGATTGCAGGGAGCAGCTTCCCTAAATTGCTTATGTCTCAGGGCATGATGCTTAGTACAGTTTTCCCTTAGTGCTCCTTTTAATGATTTTATTAGTATCATCACAAGTTTGATGTCTATAGTTCATTGATAATGTAGCTGAATACAAATATTTTAAATAAGTAAATTACATAAGTGTGTCAAGTTTTAAAATGGCAACTTTGAGTGATCATGCATTTCCCATGCATTTGCATCTGCATCCCCAAACTGCACAACTCAATCTGTGCTTATCCTCATGGGTCTCGGTGTGTGCCTCAGCTAGGTCGGGGCAGGAGCTGTTATGCCTTTTTGCAGACCCAGATTTTCAAGAGCAACACTGTTGAACTCAGGCATTCCATGGAGCAAGCAAAGCAAAACCAGGTTTTGCTCTGGTTCAGGTAAAAATGCAAATACCGACTATTGCTTGTGTGAGTCACCTGATCCCCCAGGGCTTGGGCTAGCACAAAGGGTATTTTGATATCCCTGCATGAGGCCAGCAGGCAGCTTCTGTACCCATGTTTCCTCCCTGGGGGAAAATTCTAGAACTGAGATGCACAGTCTTCCAACATGCTGTCAGTGATATAGCTGGAACCAAGATGGGATTCGTAGTAACTTTTTTCATCAAAGGTATTAACAGTCCAAGCAACAACCTGAATGCCTTTGGCTGACCACTTCTTCAAGTAGTCCCTGGAGAAAGAGGAAAACCCCATCCTGTTAGAATAAGGACCAGTTGTTCCAAGCATCTATAATGGTCACTAAATATGGCATTCACTGAGTAATAACAGTGCCCCAAAAGAGCCTCTTAACTGGGCCTCTGCGTGCAATCAGAGGGAATGTTCCAAAACCCAGCACCAGAACCTCTTCCACACTGTTCCAGCTTACAACACTTCAGTGACTTGCTAAAAACACCCTCCACCAAAAAAAAAAAAAAAAAAGGTCTTATTGGAGGCTGTACCTGGCTTATCCCCACCCTCTCTTTGGCCTCCTCTTATACTGTACTTCCCCTTTCCTTTCTGTATGACAGAATATGGATTTTCTTTCAATTCCTTGAAAGAATTAGGCTTTTTCCTGCCACAACACTTTTGCATGTGTTTCCCCTCTGACTTGGATCTCCACCCTCCCACCCCATTCCTACTCACCCTCCTAACCTTAGCTTAGTTGTCACCTCCTTGGGGATGTTTTCCCTAACTACCCTGATTAGGTCAAATTACATAGTATATATGTACACTGTTTTCTCTACGTAGCATTTATCTTAGTTGTAATTTTATATTTATTGGATTTTTAATTTGATTAGCAACTATCTCTTCTACTCGACTATAAATTCTGTGAGGGTGGACCATGGTTTTCTTTACCATAGCATCTTCAGCTTAATATAAACTTTGCAATACTGTGGGCATACACCAAACATTGACTGACTTGAACACACGCATGCCTGAAATAATATGAAACTAGCAACTCTACTCAGCTAAAATACACAGCTATAAAATTGCCACAGTAAAGGTCAGAGATTGCTAGCAGGTAGGGAATGGAAAGTTTTCTTAGAAGCAATGGCGCAAAGTCTCTGTAGTGTAGAGCAGAGCAGGAAGAAAGGCAGGAGGGATAAGGTAGGCAGGCACTCACAGAATGTCTTCACTGTGGCTCTGCCCTGGATTCTATGTTGGTTTTCAAAGGGAGTCAGTCACAAGGACATGTAACCTCTCTTTCGTCAGATTTTGGAAGGTTTCTTTTTCTTTTTTTTTTTAAAGATTTCATTTATTTATTTGACAGAGAGAGAGAGAGCACAGGCAGGGGGAGGCAGAGGGGCAGAGGGAGAGGGAGAAGCAGGCTCCCCGGTGAGCAGGGAGCCCGATGCAGAGCTTGATCCTAGGACCCTGAGATCATGACCTGAGCTGAAGGAAGACGCCCAATGGCTGAGCCACCCAGGCACCTCTATTTTTTTTTTTTTTTTAGGTATATATATTTTTTTAAGTGCACTAAAAACTAAGAATATTTGACCAACTTATTTTGGAAACAGGGAAATATGCCTGAACTCTTCCCACCTAAGAAGCTCGTGGCATTCCACCTTAATAAAGGTATGGTGGGCTTTGTGGGTGAAATCCAATCCAGGATGCCCACTGTTAATCCTTCCTTTCCAAGAAGAGCATTTCAGGAAATGTGTCAGGAAAAGATAAAAAAACCTTCCAACTTACGGGGATACAAAATCCTTTTGTATGAGGAAAGCTGAAATTCCACACAGGTACCACAGGATATTATGCATACTCCAATCGAGCAAAATGTCCATTACTGCAAACATGGACTGTTTCCAGAAAACATCATAGCGTGGTTTCCCATCTCCTGTATGGCTAAGGCCCCAAGGTCTATGAGTTAAAGCCGTTACTACATTCTGATCTGTTTGTCTCATCTGAAAAGGAATTTTGGAAATTAAAATAAGTATCATATCTTAAGTCCAATACCTCTCATTTTTCTTTAGATTTAGCCAATGTTACTTACTCATTCTGATGAAGTGGCCATAATGGTGCCCTGGCCCCCATGTCTACTAAATAGACATAAATCCTTTGAGTAAATAATGTAATGGATGTAAAACATTTAATATACAGTATAAATAAGAACACTTCCTTCACGAAGTCCTTATCTTTAAAATGAGTAAACTACAATCTCAGGGTCAAATTTTCATAATGTCACAAGACAAACTTTCGGTTGGTTATCAATTTAAACTTTGGCCAGATATAAGTAATTAGAACTCAGTGAGGATGGAACCATGATCATTTCCAGATGGGCTGGTTAGCTTTTGATCCTTTCCAGAGAAAAATGACTGAGAAAGGCTTGTTGGGGGGCGGGGGGAGTGGGGTGAGAAGGAAGTGAGGAGAGCAGAGAGAGAAGTAGGGGCAGGGGTTGGGGAAGGACAAGGAGAAACAGGAATATGTGGATGTTTCACTCTATGCTCTGTGCTCCTCTGGACAATGTAGCAAACATTTTGAAGGCCTCTGTGCTCAAGTAAGATTGGGAAACACTGGTCCAAATGTCTGAAAGCCCCATGACCCTATTCATCTCAATGACAGTTTATATGTGGATAGGTTCCACCCTTACTGTAAAATTTTAAATGCATACTCTTGTTGGTCACTGTTGAAGAATGCTACAGAACCAACACATTATCTTGGAAACTGGTAAGTAAAGGACAAGATTAGCATTTATTTGCCAAATGCATAACTAAATAGTAAATGACAGTTTCTTTATTTTTAAGTAGGCTCCACGCCCAATGTGGGGTTTGATCTCACAACCAGCCAGGCACCCCTAAATAATATATGAATAAACGATAGAATTAAAATATTAAGATTTTGCAACCCCTAGTAAATTGAGAGCTGGCCACTGACGTTGCAAACAACAACACAACAACAAAAGAGTTAATCAGATGTTAAGTGTCTCCTGATGAAAAAAATACCCTCACCTAATGAGATTATCTTGCCAAGAATAATTGAACCTCCACTAATCAAGCCTTTTGCTCTCACTACTGATTTATAGGAAATATATACAGAAAAAGAATGTGTTAAACTGTATCATGACATAGGAAGCAAAATCTGGACTTGGGTAAACTCTACAAAACAACCTGGTTTCTTCAATAAATACATCACAAGGGGGGGTAAAGGAGAACTTACAGGTTCTAAGATTTAAATTATAGTATGTAGTCTTTAGCTGGGTCCTGATTCAAATTAACAATTATGAAAAACAAAAACCCGTTTATATTTCTGAGACAAATAAAAATTTATATATTGACTAGATATTTCATGATCTTAAGGACTTAGTAATAGTTTTAGATGGGGTAATGACTGTATTGTGGCTATAGTTTTTTTTAAAAAAGGGAATCACTTTTTAAAGATACTTAACAATTTTTATGGATGAAATGATGTCTGGAATTTACTTCAAAATAACACTGGGGTGGATGAATGGAGGTATGGATGAAACAAGCTGGATCACAGTTAAACGGGGGCTTATTTTACTACCATCGACTTTTGTGCATATTTTAAATTCTCCATCATTAAGAGTTATGTTTTTTAAAAGGTATATTCTGTTACTTAGTGAGATGAAGAGCTACATAATTCTTTGTTCTGAGAATGTTTACTAATCTGAATGAGCCTGTAAACAATATAAAAGGAGCTTAAAGAGGAATCATGGTATTTTAAAATGGGGTATGAGTTCATTCTCATTTCTGAATTTCTCTTGTTAAAATAGGAATTTTTATTATTATTACTACGTTCAGTTAGCCACTATATAGTACATCATTAGTTTTTGATGTAGTGTTCAATGATTCATTAGTTATGTATAGCACCCAGTGCTCATCATAGCACGTGCCCTCCTTAATACCCATCACCCTGTTACCCCCTCCCCTCACACCCCTCCCCTCTGAAACCCTCAGTTTGTTTCCCAGGGTTCATAGTCTCTCATGGTTCATCTTCCTCTCTGATTTCTCCCTCTTCAGATTTCCCTCCCTTCCCCTATGGTCCTCCGTGCTATTGCTTATGTTCCACATATGAGTGAAACCATGTGATAATTGTCTTTCTCTGCTTGACTTACTTCAAAAGAGGAATTTCTTAACTGAAATTCAGTTCCATTTAACCGGCATCTATCTTATGCTTACTTGGCCCATTTCTGTTATCACCATCAACTAACACAGTATTATGTACAATACAAATCCTGAATTTTACCTTATAGATAACTTCTGGCAAGAAAGAGCAGACGATGCTATTATTGTATAGTTGAGGAAACTCCTTATATATTTTCTTTAGAGCATCAGTAGCCTGCAAAGCATAGAGATTCATGTATTTAAATGTAAGAGTCCCAGCCAATAACTATTACATACTAAGTACAACCCTATCAAATAAATCAGAACTTTGCTAATATATGGGGATGCTGAAAGGAGTATTGGAAGATTCCATCATCCATTTGGATCCTTCTTAAATTCACATCTACAGCAGATAGGGGGAAAGTGGGAGTACTGTTGCTTTACTATTCTGTTGAAAGGCTCATCCCTTTTGTCAGACTTTTTGGAAAGCACGGCAGGCGGCAGGCCAGTTGAGGCTGGAAGCAAAATTTTAAACCTTTTCCTTATAACCCAGTTTAGCCACTAGGAAAAGTCTTTTTATACCCACAACTCTATTATCCTCTGCCTTTCCTGGCAGAAGCATGAGCCAACCAGCCTGGGAACTACTAAGTGTAGATGTTCTCGGTCCAGGGGACTGAGAGGAAATGGCATTCATCACCAACATGGAGGCAGGAATAATGGGATAAGGGAGGAACTGGGAAGAGCTTCCCAAGGTGAAGAGAAGTTTCTTTTTGTAGTAGTCCCCAGTTAAATGAACGAAGAAGAAATGATTGAACTAAAATACTGACATTTTGTAACCTCTAGTGAATTAACAGATTTGGCCATTGAGCATCAACAGCAGCTAACAAGAGAGGTGACTAGGCATTAGGTGGAATGTAATGTCACTATATTATAATTCTTGAAATATCACTAAATTTTGGAAAGTCACACATACCTATAACCAAATGTAAGCAACAAAATGCATTCCAAAGAAGAAAAAAGGACATAGAAATTACTCATGTCCTGTCCCCCCTTCACTAATGTGACGGAGTGTGAGCTACAGAGCCAAAGCTGTTGTCTTGCTGTCTGAACTAACATAGGCCTTGTATCTGACTCTTCACCTACATTATTTATTTAATTCTTATAACAACACTGTGGACATTTGTTTTATTATTCCCACCCCGCCCCCTCCCCCATGAGGAAACTGAAGCACATCAAGGTTAAGGTTCACTGTAGTAAGTGAGAGAGTTTAATCACAGTCTGTTGGACTCCAAAGCCCATAATCTTGGCTCCTGTGTTCTACTAGCTCCAATTTGCTGCACTTGGTCCTTTACCCTACCATTCTGGTGAATTAGGTCACTATGTTTAATGATGCCCAAACCACCTGTGAGCACCCAACCAGAAAGCTCAAATAGCTGGATTAAAAAAATTTTTTTCCTTCTTTTTTCCCTTTATTCTAAGGATAAGCATGAAGGTCAGTACACCATGGGTGAGATGTAGGACCTATCAGGGATCCCAACGTGGGCAGTATCATCAACAAAACCTGAGATGCTCATTAAAAATACAAGTTCCTTGATCAAGTATCCTAGACATTTTCAGAATTTCTTCTCTATGTGATATGGCCCAGGAATTCGTACTTTTAATAGGTATTCCTGGTGATTCTGATGCAGACTGACTGGAAAACCTAGATGTATACAACTCTACATCAGAATACCAGAATGTACCAGAATAATAAATGAGCCAGAGCATCATTCTCCTTTCTTCAAAAATGAGAGTTTCCTGTGCTCAAGTTAGAATATATACTTAGGCTCTTATTTCAGGTTTTAACAACTATTTCAACTACATCCCAGGATGAATAAAAAAAATTGACATCAGAATTCCCCACCAGTAGATGGCCATTACTGATTATAACTTGCAAGGGAGAAAAATACCTGTAAGTTGTCCAAATGCAGAAAAAAAGTATTTGTACTTGGAAAGCTGGTTATAAGTGAACAAATGTAATCTAAACCATATTTTCCCATTGATTTCCATTGGGAAATAATATATTTCCAATAATATATTTTTGTGAATAAAAGTATATGTTCTAAAATTTAAGCAAAATTTTATTTAGGAATGTCATACATATTTGAAAAAATTATAGTAATTTTACCATAAAAGTATAACTACTCAAATCATAGAATAACAAAACTATACATAAGGGATAGAAATCATACAGGAAGGATGACTCTAAGTAAAAGATAAATATCCTATTAGCTGTCAGAAACTTTATGTATGGGAGTTCTCTTTAAATTCAGTCCACAGTTGTCCATCTAAAACCATTAACTTATAGCCAGATGCAACTGGTCTTGTGTCTAACTCCTGAATTCTTTCTTATAAGGTCAGTTGAAGTGCCTCTTTATGGTTTATTTATTATTTTTTGTAAATACTACTTATGCAAGTAAGAAAAACCCAACTCTATTTTGTATTAGTTATAGAATATCAGGAGTTGTTCAAAGGTTCCATCAAAGGTTAAGAGTTCCATAATTTACTATTTCCTTAAAGATGTGATTTTTGCATTATAAACTTCTAATAAGCAAATATAATTTGTAAAAATAATTTAAGAATGAGAAGTAGCAAAATCTATAGTTGATTTTGGAAATGACTAGCAATTAAATAAGAGGTCTTTTCAAAAAAGTGAAGTCTATGGTATAAACTGTACCATATTTGCATGGCCCTTGACATCAAAGAAGATTGTGAGGTTATAGTTTAGGCACTCTGCAACGGCTTCTCTCAGGGTAGGGATCTTTTCATCAGGGAAATCATTCCTATAAGAGAGGGAAAAGGAATAGTATATTGCAGGAAAGAGAAAAAAGATAAAAGTTTAGTGAACAGACGTTTGACAAATGTCTCCCAACCAACAGAAAAGAGTGTTTTCCCTAACTTCCTTTCTTTAAGCATACTGAAGTCTAAGGATAATTTACTTAATGTCCTTGAACCAGATCAGATATCCTTGACCAAAGAATAGCAACAACAACAAAACCACTTGATTTTTAAGAAATCACTAGATTTATAATATAATTAGGAACTCTACTCACCAAAGGGCAGAGTACTTCTGGAGAACTTGAGACTTAAATTTAAGACTGTAATTGCCCTACTAGAACCTTATGCAGGAGAAATTCCTAGGAGTACATAAATCTGTTCACTGTATTGTTGTGCACTTAAGTGCAACTGTTCAAAATAAATGTTTATACATAATTCACTGATAAAGAAAAGGAACGTTAAGTGCCCAACTTATAAGAAATCAGCTTTTCTCACATAATGAAATTTCATTCTATATGACTTAACTTATACTTACTCAACTATATAATTTCAAGTGTAATATCTTGGTATAAAAAAAGATAAAGATAATTTGAATAGTACAGGCAATTCTGCCAGCCATTCTATTCCATGACTATTCCTTGGGAGTGAGAGGTGAGACACTGACTTTGCTATTCCCTTGGCCAGTCTTAGTTTCTATGGCCCCCACTCAGGATGAGCATCTAACCATATTGAAGATAATTCTAGAGAAAATACCTATTTTTCTTACAACATGGTCCATAAACACAAGCCAGTGGCTTCACCTGGTGTTCAAACAAAGAAAATGCAATAAGTTCCAATTGGAGGACAAAGACTGGCTATGTTAAAGACATTAAGATGGTATACTGACACCAATATTGCACTTGTTTCTTTTGAAATGAGAGAGGTGTTTAATTAGTCCTTCATGTCTATTTTTCAATACAGATTAGAAGTAGTAAAAAAACAAAAACAAAACCTAGGTAGAATGATGCAGTGTAACATAGTAATTGGTAGCATTACCCAGAGGATGGTTCTCATTTGATTTTCCTTCTCTTTCTAGAGGTTTTTTATGTGTTTAAAATTTTTCACATACTCCTTTCTTTAAAATGCACTGGAGTATAAGGAAAAGTGAATGGTTATTTAGGTGTATTAATGAGGGAATGAATAGTTTTTTATATATGCTCTGTTGTAGTTCCACTAAATGAAAGTCCTAAAACAAATTAAGGTATTACTTAATGTGTGTATTAATAGGTTCAAGCCTATTAACATACAAAAGTCAATTAGCAAATCAAGACTTATAGCAATGCCTCAAAGGTGATTGTAAAACTTCTGTAAAAGGTCCCCCCCCGCCAAATCATTCAACTTCTTTAACTTGGAAACTTTATAAAATTATGGAATATGATCATGAAGAATTTAGCAAAGCCAATGGTCTTTTTTACTAAAGTTAATGGCCCCTTGTAATTTTAGACATTGAAGAGAATCCACAGTTTGGATTTTATTTAAGGGTAGCAGCTTACATGATAGACTCCAACATTTTCATACAGTGGTTTCTCTCCTCCACAGATTTCCAGAATCATTACAGGTAATTTTTGATGAGTCTGGCTAAAAGTTTATCAGTTTTGTTGATCTTTTCAAAGAATCAGCTTTTGGTTTCATTGATCTTTTCTATTGTTTTTTTAGTCTCTAGTTCATTTATTTCTGCACTGATCTTTATTATTTCCTTTTACTCACCTTGGGCTTTTTCTTTTCCTAGTTCTTTGGGTGTAAGGTTTGATTGTTTGAGATAGGCCTGTATTGCTATAAATTCCCTTTTAGAACTGCTTTTGTTGTATCCCAAAGATTTTGGATTATTGTATTCTTATCTGTCTCCATATATTTTTTTAATTTCTTCTTTGATTTCTTTGTGGACTCACTGGTTGTTTAGTAGCATGTCATTTAGCCTCTGTGTGTTTGTGTTTTTTTTTCCAGCTTTTTCTTGTGAGTGACTGCTACTTTCATACCGCTGTGGTAAGAAAAGATGCATGATATGATTTCAGTCTTTTTAAATTTATTGAGACTTGTTTTGTGGCCTAACATGTGATCTATCCTGGAGAATGCTCCATGTGCACTTGAAAGAATATATACTCTGTTGTTTTTGGATGTTATGTTCTCTATATATCTGTCATGCCCATCTGATCTAATGTGTCATTCAAAGACAGTTTCATTACTGATTTTCTGCCTGGATGATCTATTCACAATATCATGCCTTCTTAAAGGATTTTATGGGTGATGATGACCCTGAGCATTTTTTGCTTTAATTGTTGACTTTGAAGCTGACCTCTTAGCTGCAATGTCACTGTAATATTAAAACTAGCATTTCCCTCGCAGATAACAGAACAATGAAATATCTGAGTATTGCAAAGAGCAATTCCAGCAGCTTGCACTCAGAACTTTCAAGTGTTACCAATACTCTTTCTAGATTAAATTATAATTTCCTTTGGTTGACTTTTCTTTCAGGATCCTAGGAAAATAAAGTCTGAATCATCTGTTAGGGAGGACTATAACATGACCACTAGGTCAAACACTTAATACTCAAAGAGTATTGATCATTGTCGAGAGAATGATACAACATGAGTAACAGTGAGCATACATTTTTCAGTATTACAAAGAAGAGAGGGATTTAGATAATCATATTCCAAAGTATATTACCCAGTATACTCATTCCAACGTGTTTATAGCTGTTTATGGTGGGAATGGTGTGGGTTCTGTAGTCATACATCTTTGAGAAACATTAAAGGTAATAAGTGATTGATGTGGACTGTTTATCCCTAAAGGGAACATCTAGAGTATAGTGCTTGATCTTAGTTGATCATAGAACTCTTTTCTTGTGGAATATCTTATAGGACTAATTCTGAGATACAGATATATCTATAAATCTCTTATATATAAAATTTATAGGATAGTACAAAGTAACTGTCTAATGTTACTAATGTTAGTGACTACACAGTGTATTGTCTTGAGAATAATTCCCAGGCCAAATCTGGCCACAGTGGGAAAAGATGAAAAACATCCATGCCATATTTCAGTTGTTCCTGGCACCCTGCTCATTACTTGGGAAACCTGTATATAGTTCAAAACAAAACACAACAAAACAATTCCCCTGGAGCAGAAGATGCCAGTGTCTTTAGAAAGTGCCAGTGTCTTTCTGTGATCCCCAACAGAAGATGAAAGGTACGTTTAAGTGACAATGAACCACTTACCTTAACCTGTGATTTGCTGCAGGATTAAGCTTCCTAATTTGTTCAAATGTCAAATCACACAATCGACCAGTGCCATCAGTCGTCCTATCGACTGTGTTATCGTGCATTAAGATAGGAATCCCGTCAGAAGTAAACTCAATGTCCAACTCCACACCTGTTGCTCCATTCTTAGCTGCCTTAACAAAAACATCAACAATATAAATAACAAGTGGCCACAGATGTCACTTTACAATCTACATGCTCAAGATGACCAACAGTGCTAAGTGGACAGTGTCTCTTACTGATTCCTTCTCCTCCTTATACCAAATAGCAACCCACCCAGTTTCTACTTTTCCTGATAACCTTACTTCAACTTGCACACTTAGGGATTCCTCAAACACTTTAAATTCCCCAGTCTTGGGCACCTGGGTGGCTCAGTCGGTTAAGCGGCTGCCTTCAGCTCAGGTCATGATCCCAGGGTCCTGGGATTGTGTCCTGCATCAGGCTCCCTGCTCAGTGGGGAGTCTGCTTCTCCTTCTACCCTTCCCCCCTGCTCATGATCTCTCTCTCACTCTCTCAAATAAATAAGTTTTTTAAAGATTTTTATTTATTTATTTGACATAGAGAGAGAGGCAGCGATAGAGGGAACACAAGCGGGGGGTTGGGAGAGGGAGAAGCAGGTGCGGGGCTTGATCTCAGGACCCTGGGATCATGACCTGAGCCGAAGGCAGATGCTTAATGACTGAGCCACTCAGGCGCCCCATAAATAAATAAAATCTTAAAAAAAAAATAAATTTCCCACTCTTCCCATTCTCACAGTAGTATATGGGAAAATTTCTGGAACTTAAGTTTTCTCTGGTTGCTTTAACTCTATGGGCCATTAATGGCTTACAATTACAAATATTTAGACAAATTCCACTGATTACTACACTCTGTTTGGTACAGCATCTCTGATGATTCTCCAGTGTTTGATGATTAGCTGTATATGCACCACTTTGGCATAAACAAGAGGAGTCATGTTTTTGTTGGTTTAACTCCACCCTCTGTAACGGGAACACCAAGCCTGCTTCTAGGGGACACTACATTTTGTTTATATAAGCAGCACTGGCTGTTGGCCAACAAGCTGGTAAACATGATAAGGTATACTGGAATTTATCTAAAAAGAGAACTTGAGCATGTTCCTCTGAGACACACGACCCAACGTTTGCTTCCTTGGCTTCTTTGTCACAATGAAGACATGAAATGCTCATTATGATCAAGATTTTAAATTTAAAAAAATCTTAATTAGGCAAACACACACAGCAGTACATAGCAAAGAAGACTTAACAGATGTTGACATTTTGCCACATTTGCTTCAACCTCTTGCTGCCCTAAAACACAGTAATAGTTACTATTTACTGAGCCTTTTCTATATAGTCAGGCACTATTCTAAATGCTTTAAATATATTAACTCATTTGATTCCCACCACCCTTAGGTAGTATTAAGATTCTCATTTTCAGGTGAGGAAACAGGAATTAAGAGACTTGCTCCGGGCTGTACAAAGCATGACGTGGTAGAGGCTGCACTCTTAAGCACTATATATTTATTACTGACACTACAAGTACCGGGAGATTTCTCCTCCTTCCTCTCCATCTTAAAGTTGATGTGCATCATTCCTGTGTCATTCCCTTAGAAGGTCTTCATATATTCGCTACACACTTAAGTACCCAAGTACCCGGAAACAGCGTACAGCTCTGTACTAATGCACAGCAGGCATTCAATAATTGTTAGCCATTGTCATTTATTGTGTTCTTTTTAACACATTTTTAGTTTTAATACAGTCGAATTTATCAATCATGTCCTTTATGGGCATAGATTATTCTCTTTTATTTAAATCCTTCCCTACCCCCATTTATAAAGATACAATACAACTCTATTTTCTTCTAAGCTTCAAAGTTTGATTTTCATATTATGACCAAGATTTCTTCCTCTAAAACCCCAAATCCATCACTCACTGGCTGTATCATCTAGTTACTTATCATACTCTAGGTTCAGTTTCATCATTTTTAAGATGATACTTTTCCGGGCATCTGGGTGGCTCAGTTGGTTAAGCGACTGACTCTGACCAATTCCTGATTTCAGCTCAGGTCATGACCTCACGGTTGTGGATCAAGCTCTGTGTCAGGCTCTGCCCTCAGAGCAGAGTCTGCTTGAGATTCTCCCTCTCCCTCTGCCCTTCTCCCTTTCTTAATGTGTGCACACACATATGCTTTCTCTAAATAAAATCTTAAAGAAAAAAGATGATACTTCTCTAATGATCTTAAGAGACGTAAGGATTTAGAAATAATGCATTTAAATTACCAAGCTTGGTGCCTGGCTCAAAGCTGGCACTCAGCATAAGCTATAATGATTCAAAAAAACCCATCTCAGTGAAAAAGTCATTAAAATAGTGCTCACATCTTACACTGGTTAAAAGGTGTATCTTTTTACAAGATTAAAAGGTATCTTTTCTAAGTTAAAGACAGAATGACGCACTGGTAAATTAACATGGGTTTTATCATTTAAGACATACAACAAGGTCACATTTTCAGTATTCATAGTGCATCTCTCTCACTGTAATACAAATGTTATCCTTATTCCCTGAGGCCAGCACTATAATTGGTTCAATTATATTTGTATACAGTAGGGCCGTCTCTATTTGGTTACAACACAAAAAATAATAGTGATAAGACACTAAATTTTAGCAAGATTACTAGAACTAATGAGTTCATTTATTTGTCTTTTCTGAGTAGTTTATTAAGGCCCCAAGCAAAAGCTTTATAAAAGAACCACCATATTAGAGTTTCTCAGACCATATCTTCTAATGACTGCATTCAACTTTCTTTACCGATACTTTTTTTTTTTTTAAAGATTTTATTTATTTATTTGACAGAGACACAGTGAGAGAAGGAACACAAGCAGGGGGAGTGGGAGAGGGAGAAGCAGGCTTCCCGCTGAGCAGGGAGCCCGATGCAGGACTCGATCCCAAGACCCCGGGATCATGACCCGAGCCGAAGGCAGACGCCCAACGACTGAGCCACCCAGGCGCCCTCTTTACTGATACTTTTGTTATTCCAGTTAGAGAGACAAAAAGATAAACTCCTGTATTAAATTCACATATTAGTATACAATTCACATTCATCTTTTAATTTAGAGAAATTCCTTATAATAGTATTTTTTCTTCTAAACATACAAATCTCATATAAACTGGTTTACAAAAATATTGTAATTTTATTAAAAATGAAAAATTTATTTAAAAACTATACTAATAGTTTATTTTTTTAAAGATTTTATGTATTTATTTGACAAAGAGAGAGATAGGGAGAGCACAAATAGGCAGAGAGGCAAGCAGAGGGTGAGGGAGAAGCAGGCTCCCGGCAGAGCAGGGAGCCGGATGCGGGGCTCAATCCCAGGACCCTGGGATCATGACCTGAGCCGAAGGCAGATGCTTAATGACTGAGCCACCCAGGCGCCCTAAAAACTATACTAATAGTTTAGTAATAGAATAGCACAGTGTAGTATCAATGCTTGCCTTGGGGCAGAGGTGTGAGTGGGGAGTTAACTCCAAAGAGCACAAAGGAACTTTCTGGGGTGATAGAAATGGATTAAGGTGATGGTTACCCAGGTATATATATTTATCAAAACTCATCAAACTGTACATTGAAAATGTCTGCCTTTTATTGATGTAAATTATACTTTGATAAAATTGATTTAAAAAGTATTTGCTTTAACAAATTTGTTATATTTATATGGCTTTTTAAATGTTTCACTGAAAAGTATCTTTTCAATATCCAACCTTATACAATAACTTCATACACAGAAAGAACTTAATTTGTGTTTACTGACAATGAAGAAAACCATAGATTCCACTATTAGAACACAGAATGGCACAATGTTTTTTGGTAGAGATTTTTCAATCTGACGAAGTTCAGAATCACAGCTTTCTTCTTCTTTTTAGCTTTGAGACTATTCACATACCATGTAATTTACGTTTAAAGAGTACAATTCAATGGGGTTTTTTTTGTTTTGTTTTTTAAAGATTTATTTGTTTTTTGTTTGTCTGACAGAGAGAGAGAGATCACAAGCAGGCAGATAGGCAGGCAGGCAGGCAGAGGGAGAGGGAGAAGCAGGCTCCCCACTGAGCACAGAGCCTGATGCCGGGCCCAATCCCAGGACGCTGGGATTGTGACCTGAGCTGAAGGCAGATGCTTAACCGACTAAGCCACCCAGGAGCCCCTGGTTTTTTAAAAATTAAATTCACAGAGCTCTGAAACCACCAACACAATCACTTTTAGAATGTTTTCATCACCTCAAAAAGAAATCCTGTGTCCTTTAACAGTCAATCCCCATTCCTGGCAACTACTAATCTACTTCTATCTCTCTGGATTTGCTCATTCTGGACATTTTATTTAATAGAATTATATAACATGCAGTCTTCTGTGACTGGCTTTTTTTCTTTCACTTAGCATGTTTCTAAGGTTCATTCATGTTGTAACATGTACCAGGACTTCATTCCTTTTTCTTGCTGAATACTATTCCATTGTATGGATATATCACATTTTACTTATCCATTCATCAGCTGATGGATATTTCTGTTGTTTCCACTTTGGCTATTAATAATGCTATGAACATTTCTGTACAAGTTTTTGCATGATGTATGTTTTCAATTCTTTTAGATATATGTATATATCTAGGAGTTTTATTGCTGGATCGAATGGTAACTCTGTGTTTAACCTTTTAAGGTACTGCCAGACAGTTTTTCCCACCAGCAGTGTATGAAAGTTCCAATTTCTCCACATCCTCGTCAACACCTGTTATTGTTTTCTGTTTATAGCTACCCTAATGGGAATTCCATTGTGGGTTTGATTTCCATTTCCCTGATGACTGATAATGTTGAGTATCTTTTCTTGTGCGTATATTGGCTATTAGAACATCACAATCCTTCCAAAAAAAACTTATTGAGTGCCTACTAGATATCAGGCAATGTTCTAAGCAGTGAGGAGAAAGTGGTGAACAAGAAAAAAAAGGATCATGGATCTTATATCTCACTAGGGAGAAACAGATTACAAACATGTTACATGTAAATTTTGATAGTGATAAATGTTTTGAAAAAGAAAATAAAGGGTAATGTGAAGGTTAAGGCCAGTGGGGGGTCACTAGACAAGGCAGTCAAGGAAG